AGAATCTGGGCTGGCGTTTCTTAACCAACTTGCTGGAAAGCTGGCCCAGTTTCTTGAGCACGTTCGCCATCCAGCGATAGCAACATAACTTGGCCCAGGGTTGTTTTGAGACATCTTCGGAAAGCTGGCCCAGGTTTCTTTATTGAAGATTGTCTTGATTTGTTCGTGCTGCACAGACAGAAGAGGCCCGCTCAGACCACACGGGTTGGCCCGTGAACGGGTGAGGCTACAGCGCAGTGGCCTGAACGAGCGCGCCCGCAACGGAGAGCGAACGTCCGCGCGGAATGCTAGGACTGGCGTTGGGGCGGCGCCGGAGGCGCCGCCACGGGGGTCCGCCGCCAGTTCAAGGCATCCGCGCGCACCTCCGGAAGCTTATGCTCATGCTTATGCAGCTTGTCTTTCCTCCAGTGCAATTGCCCAGAGCACTGCCATCCCTGCGACGCCCCAGAGGCATCGTTGGGGCGGGACAGGCTCAGGGGTGGATGCCTCGACCTCGAATCGCTTATTGGTCGCCGATGGGGGCCCGACTGCCCACCCAGTCTGGGAAGCCACAGCTTCACAATCGGGGGCCTATCGGCGATGTACCGCCGACTCCAGCTCGATGCCCCCCCCCCCCCGGGCCAGTCCCCCCCCGCCCTCCTACGTTCCCCCTGCAGCCCCTCCCTCGCGCCTTCCGCTGTCCCCAATGGCATTTGTCCTGGATTCCACGTTGGATGCTCGTTTTGGGGGACCTTCTTGGAGCCACTCGCTCCACTCGTGCGTCGAAGCTGCTAGCACGGCCGGGGCCTCAGAGGCAAATGGCTTCGGAGGTGGGGAAGCGCTGCTGCAATCCCGCCCGTCCCGCTTTCGCCAAACCGTGTACGCAACCATCTTGCCAGAAACTGACTCCAGAACGATCTTCACATGAGCGATGTCAACACAAAATGGGTTCGTCTGCGCCGACATCCGTGCTTTGGTTGCCCGCGTAAGGTCTCGCGTGAGCGCCCTCGTCTCCAGTGTAACATGCCGCGCTGGCGGCCCGGGTACTCCACCGCGTAAGGCCGCTACGTCATCTCGCGTAAGACCCGTTTTTGATCGTCACTCGAGCGGTGCAAAAGGGAGGAGGAGGAGGAGGAGGAGGAGGAGGATAAAGAGGAGGACGATGATGAGGATGAGGATGAGGATGAGGATCATGATAAGTTTGATGATGCTAAAGATGATGTATATGAAGCTGATGATGCTGATGTTGATGCTGATGTTGATGCTGATGATGATGACCGAAATGGGGATGGTGATGGTGATGATGATCATGATAGTGATGATGCGATTGATGATGGTTATGATGATGCTGATGATGATGCTGATGAACATGATGGTGGTGATGATGATGATGATGACGGTGATGACGATGACGATGACGATGATTAAAATGGTGATGCTGCTGATGATGCTGATGATGACGATGGTGGTGGTACTGATACGGATGACGGTAATGTTGATGATGTTCCTGATGTTGTTGCTACTGATGATGATGATGATGATGAGGATGATGATGATGATGATGATGATGATGATGATGATGATGATGATGATGATGATGGCGATGACGATGACGACAACGATGACGATGACGATGACGATGACGATGATTGCGATGGTGATGGTGATAGTGATGGTGATGATACTTGCGCTGCTGTTGATGCTGCTGATGATGATGATGTTGATGCTGATGATGATGCTGATACGTATGATGATGACAATGTCGATGACGATGCTGATGCTGATGATGATGACGATGATGCTGATGACGGTGATGATGACGATGATGATGACGATGACGATGACGATGACGATGATGACGATGACGATGACGATGCTGATGATGATGATGATGATGATGATGATGATGATGATGATGATGATGATACTGATGATGATGATGATGATGATGATGATGATGATGATGATGATGATGATGATGATGGTGATGATGATCCTGATGATGATCCTGATGATGATCCTGATGACGATGACGATGACGATGCTGATGCTGCTGGTGATGATGATGATGGTGGTGATGGTGATGAGGAGGAGGAGGATGAGGATGAGGAGGGGGAGGGGGAGACTCGACGACTTTGGGCGGACAAGCTCTGCCCTCCGCCGCCGACGCCCCGGGGTGGGCAGGGTCGGGAGAGAGCGGGCCGCACCCCCGCGGCGACGTCTGGCACCGCCCGCGCCTGGGGGGGGGGCCGGGGGCCCCGAGCCCAGACTGCAGCATCGGGGGAGCGGCCCGTGCGCCCCTGGTGTGGCGATGATGAGGAAGATGGCGGCCATCACGCGTGCCAATCTTCGTCTTCGCTTTTGGACGAGCTCATATATGGGGCTCGGTTTGGGCACTGTTGGGGCTGTCTCTTAGGTTCCAGGGAAGCGGTCTTGGGGGTCCTCTGGTGCCCTCTTTTGTGTCGTTTCGGGGCCATCCCTTTTCCGCTCCCTCCCTCCTCGCTGCCTCACTCTTCCAGCTCCTCCTTCCCACCCTTCCTCCTCCTCCCTCCCCCCCTCCTTCCTCCCTGCTCCCCGCTCCTCCGCCACCTTCCCTGCTCCCTTCCTGCCTACCTCCCTCCTCCCTCCTCTCTCCCTCCGCTTGCCCCCAATTCCACCCTTCCCCCGCCCAGGTGCGCCCGAGTGTGTCCCCAACCCCCGTCACCCAGGGGGATCTCTGGGCATTGGGGTTGAGGGCTGATGTCCTGGGTCCCACGTCAGCTACTGTCAGGCGATCGCAAACATGGATTGAGGGGTCGTGGATTAGCGACGGGTCCCGTTTCCATGGGAAATTGCGGATTTCCGCCGCCGAGCGAGGCGGCACCGGCCGCATTTTGGGGTGGGCACTCCCCCCGATCGATGGATTAGGCGACCGCGCGCCAAATCCATGGATCGCTAATCCGTGTTTGCGCGCCCCCGATACTGGCAGGGCCAGATTCCTTTATAAAGGCCTGGCCTGGTGTCGCTCCTGGCCTGGCTGCCTTTTCGTTTCCATTCGATGAACGATTGAATTGTCCACGCAAGGGGTAATGGACGTCGCTGCAGGAGGGATGGCACTGCGGCAGGGGCTGCCCCGCCCCGCAGGGAAGGGAAGGGAGAGCAAGGCAGGGCGGGGGGCTGGGGGCGTCTGTGGTGGTCGTGCTGGCGGTCGCGGCGGTGGTCGTGGCAGTGGTCGTCGTGGTGGTGGTCGTGCCAGCGGTGGACTGGCTGGTGGTGGGCGTGCGTCTCTCCCTCCCTGGTGAGGAGGGGCAGCTTGCGTTGCCGCAAGGTGCCCGAACGCACCCTTCTCTTTTGCTTCATACGTGGCGGGCGCCTCACAGGAGCCAGCCTGGGGAAAGTCCTGCGGGGGCCGTGCCTGGGAGCGCGCGCCGGGCAGCTCCGACGGGGGTCCAAACGAGAAAATTCCCACTATAGCTAAAGTCGGGCATATTCCTCTACGGGAGGAATGTTCCAAAACAGTCAAAAAATAATACGGGGGCGATTTTTTGATTATTCTTTCACTATTGGGGGGTATTGTTTGACCATCTCTTCTTTCGTCCAAAATCCGCCTGTAGGGGGACATGCCCGACCTAACACTATAGGGCCAACCGCGAGCATTGGACGCTCGAGGTGCCCACCGCGCCTCGCCCTCGCCTCGGAGACCAGAGGCAGGCCGGAAGCCGAGTCGCCCGCGGGGCCGCGGAGGCAGAGGTCGCCCGCGGCCACAGCGCCAGCGGGCGCCGCCTCCTGTGCCAACTGCCCGCTTGAGACTACATTCTGCCTCGGTTTCGGGCTTCGTCCAGAGGACGAAGGCCGGGTTGCTGCGCTTGGGGCGCGCCGGCGCGAGGAGAGGATTCCTCCGCCGTCGGGTGCAGAATCCGTGGGTCCAGGCTCTGGAGAGGGAGCTTTTTGAGGCATCTTTTGCTTTCTTGCCGTGGACGGCCCCGCCGAGGCGCATTCTCATTCATTCATTCAGTGCGTTGCCGCAAGGTGAACGGCGGGGGTAGAGCTCTGCTTAGGATTCAGTTCGATATTGTAATCGTGACGCGGGATGTGGGAGGTCCTTCAGGCAGTCGGTCACCGTCACCCTCCCTCCTCTTCGGACTGGTGACTCGGGTCGGACGAACGAGGAAGGGACAGGGAGAAGGGCGGGGTACGACATCTTCTGTGTGCAGCTGGTGTCGGCGCAGCCGCCGAGCGCCTTCCTCGACGCTTTGGCGCATCGGGCGCCCGAGGAACCAGCCACGGGAGCCCATTCGCTAACCCCCCGCCCTTCACTACCCCCGCCCTTCGTCCGACCCCAGTGACGCTGCTACTCAGAGGAGGAAAAAGTACCCATACCTCTACCCTTCACCCGTTTTCCCCTATGTCGGCCTCCTGGGAGATCCTCTTCGCCACCGCTGGATTCGCCTCGAAATTCTTGTCAGAACGCACCTCGCGAGAGGTCCGGGGAGTAGCGGTATGGGTACCTTTTGGTCTCCCCAGCCACGCTCGCCCCTGCGGAGCGAAGGTCAACAGGAAGGTCCTCATCCTCCTCCTCCCTTCCCCTTGTTATTCAAGAGGCTTGCGCCACTCCGACGGCCCCCAGAAGAGGCGGGGAGTCCACGCTTGAGGAGTCGTGGAGAGTTCTTGTGGACTATTTGGGACTTTTGTGGGCGTCTTGGGAGCTGTTTGAGGGCCTGGTTGAGCCTCTTGGGGACAGTTTTGAAGCGTCTTGCCTCCGTCCCCACTGTCAATGTTCCCCCCTCCTCGTCCCTCCTTTCTTTTTTCTCCTGCTTCTCCCCCTCTCCCCTTCCTCCATCGTCCTTCTCCTCCTCCACCTCCTCCTCCTCCTCCTCTTGGTCCTCTTCCTCCTCCCCCCCTCCTGGTCCTACTCCTCGTCGTCGTCCTCCTCCTCCTGCTCATCCTCCTCCTCGTCCTCCTCGTCCTCCTCCTCCAACTCCTCTCCCTCCTCGTCCTCCTCCCCCCCTCCTCTCCCTTCTCCCCCCCTCCTCCCTGAAGAGGACGGCGACGAGAGCATCACCGCCGAGGAGTTCAAGCGGGGCCTGCAGAAGCCCGAGGCGGCCGTCGCCATCGCCCCCGCACCGCTCCCGCCTCGCCATTGGCACTCCTCCTCCTCCTCCTCCTCCTCTTCCTCCTCCTCCTCCTCCTCCTCGTCGTCGTCGTCCTCCTCCTCCTCCCCCTCCCCCTGCTCCTCCTCCTCCTCTTCCTCCTCCTCCTCCTCCTCCTCCTCCTCCTCCTCCTTTCTTCCCGCACCGCTCCCGCCTCGCCCTTGGCGCTGTCGTCTTGTGCCGCCGCCCTCGGAGGGCCCTCGGCGGCCATCGGTCAAGCAATGGCGAATCGTCGTAGCTCGCCTAGTTTTAGGCCTGCCAAATAATGTTCTGCTTGTGGTCCGCACGAAGAGTTCTTAGAACATGTCTGGTTGACACTGTCTTGTTTTAACACATCGGGCTTATGTTCTAAGAGCATTGCTCCCCATCTCCTAAGAATGGGGTTGTTGTTATTGGCAGACCGCGCCGGAGGAACACAGGAGAACAGGAACACTCTCACCTCCTCTCGCTCAGACCCACTCAGACTCACTCATCACGCAGACTTACTCATCACTCATACTCACTCATCACTCAGACTCACTCATCACTCAGACCCACTCATCACTCAGACTCACTCACCACTCAGACTCACTCATTACTCGGACTCACTCATGACTCAAACTCATCACTCATCAATCAGGCTCACTCATCACTCAGACTCACTCATCACTCAGACTCACTCATCACTCAGACTCACTCGTACTTGTACTCATACATTCACTACACTCACTCAGGTCCACTCATCGGATGACTCACACACACACACACTGATGTTGAGGATGTGTCAGGCGATTCGGTTGTCTCAGCACTCCTAAGGGGAGCGGCGGGGGGGTATTCCACGGGGTCCCGTTCGCGGAATTTTGTGGGGATGTCTGAGGCGGTTTGGCCATTTTCTCTTCCAACATGTGTTGTTCCCCATATCCTAAGAATGGGGTTCTTGTTATTGGCAGACCGCGCCGGAGGAACACAGGAGAACAGGAACACTCTCACCTCCTCTCACTCAGACCCACTCAGACTCACTCATCACGCAGACTCACTCATCACTCATACTCACTCATCACTCAGACTCACTCATCACTCAGACCCACTCATCACTCAGACTCACTCGTCACTCAGACTCACTCATCACTCGGACTCACTCATGACTCAGACTCATCACTCATCACTCAGACTCACTCATCACTCAGACTCACTCATCACTCAGACTCACTCGTACTTGTACTCATACATTCACTACACTCACTCAGGTCCACTCATCGGATGACTCGCACACACTGGTGTTGAGGATGTGTCAGACAATCCGGTTGTCTCAGCACTCCTAAGGGGAGCGGCGGGGGGGTATTTCACGGGGTCCCTTTCGCGGAATTTGTGGGGATGTCTGAGGCGGTTTGGCCATTTTCTCCAACATGTGTTGCTTTCGGAGCAGATTTGGAGGATGTGTCAGGCGATTCGCTCGTCTCAGCACTCTAAGGGGGGCGGCGGGGGGGTATTCCACAAGGTCCCGTTCGCGGAATTTTGTGGGGATGTCTCAGGTGGTTTGGCCATTTTCTCTTCCAACATGTGTCGTTTTCGGAGCAGATTTGTGGATGTCTCAGGCGATTCGCTCGCCTCAGGACTCTAAGGGGGTGGCGGGGGGGTATTTCACGGGGTCCCGTTCGCGGAGTTGTGTGGGGATGGCTCAGGCGGTTTGGCCATTTTCTCCTCCAGCATGTTTCGTTTTCGGAGCAGATTTGGAGGATGTCTCAGGCGAATCGCTGGTTTCAGCACTCCTAGGGAGGGCGGCGGGGGGGTATTTCGCGGGCCCCGTTCGCGGGATTTTGTGGGGATGTCTCAGGCGGTTTTGCCATTTTCTAGCGCAGCATCTCTCGCTTTCCGACTCCACGAATAGGAAGGGGAGTGGGAGGATGAGGAGGAGGAGGCAGGACGAGGAGGAGGAGGAGCCGGAGCAGGAAGGTAAGGATGATGATGAAGATGATGATGATGATGATGACGATGATGAGGATGAGGATGAGTAAGAGGACGGGTAGGATGATGATGATGATGATGATGATGATGATGATGATGATGATGATGATGATGATGATGATGATGATGATGATGATGATGATGATGATGATGATGATGATGATGATGATGATGATGATGATGATGATTGGCGGACCGCGCCGGAGGAGAGAGAACACCCCAACACACCACTCCTCTCACTCAGACCCACTCACTCATCACTCAGACCCACTCATCACTCAGACCCACTCATCACTCAGACTCACTCATCACTCAGACTCACTCATCACTCGGACTCAGTCATGACTCAGACTCATCACTCTTCACTCAGTCTCACTCATCACTCAGACTCACTCATCACTCAGGAGCAGATTTGGAGGATGTGTCAGGCGATTCGCTGGTTTCAGCACTCCTAAGGGGAGCGGCGGGGGGGTATTGCACTCGGCCCCTTTCGCGGGATTTTGTGTGGATGTCTCAGGCGGTTTCGCCATTATCTCTTCCAACATGTTTCGCTTTCGGAGCAGATTTGGAGGATGTCTCAGGCGATTCGCTGGTTTCAGCACTCCTAAGGGGAGCGGCGGGGGGGTATTGCACTCGGCCCCTTTCGCGGGATTTTGTGGGGATGTCTCAGGCGGTTTGGCCATTTTCTCTTCCAACATGTTTCGCTTTCGGAGCAGATTTGGAGGATGTCTCAGGCGATTCGCTGGTTTCAGCACTCTAAGGGGAGCGGCGGGGGGGGTTTCGGGATTTCACGGTCGGGAGCCTCAGGCGATTCGCTGGCACTCTAAGGGATATTTCACTCGGCCCTTTCGCGGGATTGTGTGGGGATGTCTCAGGCGGTTTGGCCATTTTCTCTTCCAACATGTTTCGCTTTCGGAGCAGATTTGGAGGACGGTCGCGCCCAGTTTGCGGGGATGTCTCAGGCGGTTTGGCCGTTATGTTGCTGGGCATTTGCCGTTTTCGGAGCAGTTCCGGGAGGATGTCTCAGGCGATTCGCTGGTTTCAGCACTTAAGGGGGGCGGCGGGGGGGTATTTCTCTGGGCCCCTTTCGCGGATTTGTGTGGGGATGTTTCAGGCGGTGTTGCATTTTTTCTCTTCCAACATGTTTCGCTTTCAGAGCAGATTTGGAGGACGTTCGCGCCCTGTTTGCGGGCATGTCTCAGGCGGTTTGGCCGTTATGATGCTGGGCATCTGTCGTTTTCGGAGCAGTTCCGGGAGGATGTCTCAGGCGATTTGCTGGTTTCAGCACTCCCAAGGAGGAGGAGGAGGAGGAGGAGGAGGAGGAGGAGGAGGAGGAGGAGGAAGAGAAGGAGGAAGCGAGGAGGAGGAGGACGAGGAGGAGGAGGAGGAGGAGGAGGAGGAGGAGGAGGAGGAGGAGAAGGAGGACAGAATGAACACGGTAGGAGCAGAAGCAGGAAGGGGATGATGATGATGATGATGATGATGATGATGATGATGATGATGATGATGATGATGATGATGATGAGGAGGAGGAGGAGGAGGAGGAAGAGGAGCTGGAGGAGGAGGAGGAGGACGTGGGCAACTCGAGTAGCCAGGGCCAGACGATCGATGTTCGATGTTCCAAAGCTTTAGGTGTTACTCAAACGCATCCGCCTCACTCTCCTTCGCTCTCCGCTCTCCTTCACTCTTCTGCATTCATACTCACTCATACTCAGACTCAGTCACACGCAGGCTCACTCGCACTTAAACTCGCTCATATCCATACTTAAACTTACTCACGCTCATACTCACGCTCAGAACCACTCATACTCAGACTCGCTCCTGCTCAGACTCATCATCCTTCGGCCCGCTCAAACGCAGACCGACTCTCATTCATATCGCCTCACATCCATACCCAATCACACTCGGCTCACTCGCACTCAGATTCATTAACACACTTGTTCTCACACTCAGACCCACTCAAGCCCAGACTCACTCATGCTCAGACTCATCATGCTACGATCCGCTTAATCACAGACTGGCTCACACTCAGATTCGTCCATACTCAGACCCACTCGCACACAGACGCACTCGCGCTCATATTTGCTCACACGCATACCCACTCAAACCCAGGCTCAGTCGCACCCAGATTAACTCACATTCAGAATCAGTCGCTCTCAGATTTGCTATTGGTCGCACTCATGCTTGCAGACTGTGGGAATGTCTCGAGCGAGCGGTTCGCCCTCGCACACAGGCGCTCATTGACAGATATCAAGAGAAAGACGTACCAAGATAATGAGATGCACATATGGGGAGCCCCGCGTCGAGTAATTTTCGGTGCAGATTTGGATGATGTCTCAGGCGATTCGCTCGTCTCAGCACTCTAAGGGGGGCGGCGGGGGGGTATTTCACGAGGTCCCGTTCGCGGAATTTTGTGGGGATGTCTCAGGCGGTTTGGCCATTTTCTCTTCCAACATGTGTCGCTTTCGGAGCAGATTTGGAGGATGTCTCGGGCGATTCGCTCGGCTCAGGACTCTAGGAGGGGCGGCGGGGGGGTATTTCACGGGGTCCCGTTCGCGGAGTATTGTGGGGATGTCTCAGGCGGTTTGGCCATTTCCTCTTCCAACATGTTTCGCTGTCGGAGCAGATTTGGAGGATGTCTCAGGCGATTCGCTGGCTTCAGCACTCCTAAGGAGGGCGGCGGGGGGGTATTTCGCGGGCCCCGTTCGCGCGATGTTGTGGGGATGTCTCAGGCGGTTTGGCCATTTTCTAGCGCAGCATCTCTCGCTTTCCGACTCCACGAATAGGAAGGGGAGTGGGAGGATGAGGAGGAAGAGGCAGGACGAGGAGGAGGAGGAGCCGGAGCAGGAAGGCTAGGATGATGATGGAGATGATGATGACGATGATGAGGATGATGATGAGTAAGAGGACGGGTAGGATGATGATGGTGATGATGCTGATGCTGATGCTGATGATGATGATGATGATGATGATGACGATGATGATGATGATGATGATGATGATGA